AGACAGCGCAATTTCCATACATATAGCACCGTACCTGTACGTTTACCACTGCTTCTAATGAAATGTACAACATAGTCCGCGTCTATTGCCAAATTTTATGGACTCTGTATAATTATTTAAGGGCATAGAAAAATATGGGATTTTCTTTACGCGGAACGCAAGCACTGTGTGGACTGAACTCACTAAGCGCCGGTGAAACGACTGATCAGGCTCCAAATTATTCAGCAATTAGAAAACTTTCTTAAAATTTAACTATATTACTTTTTAGAGTATAGAATATAAAGAAGACGCGATTCTCTATAAAACGACCGAAAGAAAGCATACTTTTGTTCGTAGTTTCTATAGAATATATTTGAATTTGCAAGAACATCGAAAATCGGTGGGAAAATGCATGCTACATAGGTAGTCATTTTTTACAGAGTACGGTTTCTACAGGGGTTTGAAAAGCAATGCATTCAAAAGCTGACATCCTGCCGAGTCCGAAATATCATAGGAATATGCCACGAGATAATCAGTATTACAACCGCACCCAAATAATCCTTCCTACTCGAAAACTCATTTCAGAATTTCAGCCAATATTTCATGTAATTGGTCATTCACTGTACATTTTCGGCATCCCACGAGCGCGGACTTTTACAAAAATACGTTCAGGTGATCCTGCAACTTTTTGATCGTCCATCGATCCACTTTTCCTTGAGTTGCCGATTTTGCAGGTCTATGAAATTCGATGATCGATATGGCGAGATTTTTAATCATTGCTACATTTCGTAACCCATCTCGTGATTTCTGAATGTGAATCAGTTTGCAGTTGTTATTTCTGATAGTCCGCACGAGAATCTCCCTGAAGTCAGCCCTTGCCGGGATGTTTAACAGTCAATAACAACAACACCATATTACTAAATTTGAAAGCTATTGAACGAAAACCTAATATAACTAGCAAATAAACCTCGAAAAGTATATCCCGTGGGTTTTATAGCACCCGAATTAAATTCTGACTCAATAAAATTAAACAACAATTAAGTGACCAACTAACGGTTGGCTAAAGGCTTCAGAAATCATTTTTGTAAACAATGAACTTGTGTGTCATTTTTTGTAAATCATTAATCAAAAAGCCAAATGGAGGGTTAGGAGTAAGAAAGCGTAAGATTTGCATCGGAAAATGGTATTCGAATGCAGAAGTAGATTGCCAACAAAGACAAGAGAGACGGTTGGTAATCTATTTCTACATATAATACTAGTCGCTATGCGATTGCCATCGAGACTCTGGGTCAAACCCCAAAAGCACAACAGGCCGAGAGAGTCCCGTAGCTGATCGGTGTGCCTCCATCTACTGATGTGAAAATTCGAGTAGACAAGCAACTTTAACGTCCGAGGAACGTGTTCTCTTCATGGTACTGCTTTTGTAACCAAAAAACATTCTTCTAGACGATACCCCGAGAAGTCGTGGCTTAATATCTTCACTAGAATCCATTCTGACCACCTTGGCTAAAAAATTTCCTCGTCTGGTTCATCATATCTACAAATGTAGACTATGCACGACATTAAGAACTCAAGTCAGGACTATGTGTGAGGCCGTGGTGTAAGAAACCGCGACTATTTGCTTTTTCTCCGTGACCTAGATCACCTCAAGTGAACAACCTGGATACTTTTGCGTATTAATTCGAACAAACTGGAGTTTAGTGCTTCGACGAAACATCCGGCATTCTTTGCGGTTTCACAAAAATGCTAATCCCTCCCCCCTTTCAGTGTTAAAAAAACAACCGCCTGCCATTACCAATTCGCCATCCAGAGCTTTGTATGCAGAGTGAAACTCGTGGTTACTTTTATCTGGCGGAGAACTAAATGGTTCTTTGGGAGCGTTCGCTTTGAATTCGGCACAAGTGTATGCGAAACAAACGGTAGTTCCGTTGTGTGCTCCAATTAAATGGCAGCTTTCATGTCTTGTGTTGGTAAGATTTTCGAACCCGTTTTGCCGAAAGAAAAAGACAGTTATTTGTGTAGGCATCTTCAGTGTTTTCCGAAGCAGCTGCCTTATCTACGTCCGAATTTTTGTCTTCCACCTAAAACTCGTTGAGTTCCGTGACCTGTAGGTCACCGTTGTCCTTTTGCAGGCAGTGGTCCGATCACTTTGTTGCATGCTCCTATCGGGTTGGTTGCTCAGTGCGAAAATTCTGCTCTGGTTGTTTATAGTTCTGTTGAACAAAGCCATCAAAACTCTGATAATATCCTTATGATATTTTACGAAGGTCCGTGCGCTTTGCTATTTCTCTGCAGTTGTCGGAACGTTTGTAAGGCTGCTTCTTGGAAACATAATCCAGTCCTGGAGGTTCCAAAAGCAGAACCACTACAACCTACTCAAAGGGTTTTAATACGGGCAGCATTATACATTATGACGCATTATACACTTGACGCGCTTACAGAGAACGGTGTTTAATTTATATTACTTTGTCGAGTACAATGCTGAATGTATGACCTACCTAGTAAACTAAGCTAAGCTAATAATTTCACAAGAAAGTAACAAAAGAACTTAATCGAGATGTTTTGAGATGGAGAGAAAAGTCTTTGCAGATAAGCAGTAGGTAATTCATGACATGTGCGTAAATCCACAAAAAGTCTAACCAGTCGGATGCTGGCCTAAATCCAGCGTTCAGAACTCCCTATTAATAATGGGCGACCTTCAGTTAAATGAAGATGTAAAAAAATTTAAAGCAATATTATGTTAGGTATGAAAACTGTTATTTGGCGAAAATTGGAATGCCGAGGGCGCCAAGATCCGTGTGAAACGCGTGACACAGTTTTTAGAGGCACATAAAGTCTCTTCACACAAACAACGGAGTAAATGAAACAGCATATGCATAACAACGTTTGGAACAGCAACAGCAGAAGCGGCCGCCATCAGGTTACGAAAACCGACCCTATGCACCTAGAAGAATCTCGTTCAGGCTCCGCGCTTACCGTGGTCAAAGGTTGGCTAATTACATACAACTTTCTGCGCTCTTCCGCTCTTGCCAAGCCTGTATTTTAAAAACTAACTTTTATCGATTTTTTTTTCCACTCACTATACCCCGTCTCATATAACTGTACTGGCCTGACGATAAGTTATCGAAAGCAACGTTCGCTCGCCACATTTTCTTCTGAATATAGCTATGGGGATTTCAGAACTCTAAAACGTTTTAACTAACCACCGAGATAAATATCCCACAAGGACTAATGTAAAAGCCGTATTTCAGTTAGTTAGCTACCTAATACTTAGTTATGTGTTCCAAAATGGTCTTCTGAGAATTCGTCGAAATGTTTTTATTTTTACATTTTTTCAGATGCAGTTAGCTGGGGCAAAGACGATTCCGCATGATTCTGTGAATGGAAACGTCACAGATAAACGTTTTCATAAGGCCATATTTTTCCAGACCGGCTACTACCTATGACATTAGGGTGGAATTCGCAGGTGCACTCATAAATACACCATTTCCTGCGTATGAAGAGATCTTTTCCTCGAAAAATTATTGTGTGGTTCTTAGCGATGTTGGAGCCCGCTGAGATTCAGAGTGTCAGTGACGCTTTTCGGCTTACAGGGTTCTCAGTTCTCAGACTTCATTTTCATTACAAGTGACGGTTTGGGCCATATCTGCGTATACATCCAAACATTAGTCCTAGTCGCCGAAGGGTGCTCCCGACGGTTTAACACTGTTCTGTGGCTGCATAACGCAACGTTGAGGGACTCTGGCTTTCAGTGAGTCCTTAGATTCGCCTGCTTAGTTTCCGGTCTGATTTTAGGCAGAAAATTTAAATTCGCATTTCCGTGAAAAGTTAACGAAAAGGCTAGGAGTTAATGTTTCGAGACACGACTTTCCAGGACCAGGTGGAGCGCGGGTTGGGCGGATTTTGTGTTACGGTGATTTTCTTGTGATAACTCCGTACATTTCATGAGTTATTATATCTACTGTACATGTATCGATATTTTATAATTTAATTTATATTACCAATCACAACCCACTGGACAACTTTACATATGTACATATATGACACGGTACCGACAAAAACAAGGGAGACTGGAACGGCCATTTCCGGTTTATTAGTCGTCATCAGTCAGTCATATCCGACCCCAAGTGTGGATCACTTGAGATTCGAGCACGGGATCTTTGGTCAGGGAGTTTGAAAGTCTACCATTGTGACACGGACCCGTTGTCCAGTCGGTTGTGATTGGGAATACTAATTAAATTATATAATATATATACCTGTACAGTAGATATAATAACTCCCGAAATGTACGGAGTTATCACTAGAAAATCACCGTAACGTAAAATCCGCTCAATCCGCGTTCCGCCCAACTCTGAGAAGACGTGTCTCAAAACGTTAACTCTAAGCCTTTTCGTTAACTTTTCACGGAAATGCGAATTTAAATTTTCTGCCTAAAATCTGATCGGAAACTATGCAGGCGAATCCAAGGACTCTCCGAGAGCCAGAGCCTCTCACCGTTGTGTTATGCGGCGACAGAACTGTCGAGAGCACCCTTCGGCGATAAGGATTGATGTTCGGATGTGTGCGTAGCTATGGCCCAAACCGTCATTTGTATAACAATGGAGTCTGAGAACTTGCTTGTTCCGTCGTGTCTTGGGGCTCATACTAGAAACTTTCCTGTGCGACTGGCCTGTAAGAGTTCTAGTATGAGCCCCAAGGCACAACGAACAAGCACTTTCCATAACCTGACCGCTGAGCGTCTATCTGTCATAATACATATGTATATATATTTGATAATTTAATTAATATTCCCGATCGCAACCGACAGGACAACGGGCTCGTGGCTCAATGGTAAGGTGTCAGACTCGCTGACCAAAGATCCCGGGTTCGAATCTCAAGTGATTCACACTTGGGGTTGCTGTGACTGACTGATGACGGCTAACAAGCCAGACATTTCAATTCCAATTCCCCCTGTCTATGTTGGTACCACCTTATCTACATAAGCTATTAGTCGTTATGTGACTGCCTTCGAAGGCTCTAGTATGATCCCCGAGACAAAGGTGACGAACACGTTCCGCAACCCGATTGGTGAGATCCCTTCTTTCATAATATTGGAATATAATATACATTCGAATCCAAATATTTGAAATTCAAATATATCCTTAAATAGTTTATGTGTACATGTGTATTTTAATTCAATTACATTCTTAGGCAAAATTATAAAATTTTATTTGATACATTGTTAACGCTTGGTTCCACAGGGAGTCGTCAGACGTTGCGTAAATGTGCAAAAAATTTTCATTTCAGATGTTCTTAGAGAATCGGTAATTTTTCGGTGATCGTGCCGGTAAATGGGTGCCGCTTGCGTCACCATGTATCGACTGGTTATCGTCTCTTCAGTTATTTCGGTGCAATTTTGTACTCGACCTCTAACTCAATCTGCTGACTGAGGTGAAATCCATCTGAGGGCATACACACAAGGAACTCTCGGCAATTTTTGAAAGGATGGACGACGAAGATGAGAGTTTTATCTCAAGCAAAGGTCTCCCTAGTTTCTAGGGCATGCATGGCCTTTGGAGACAGATGGTCTCGCCTCCTAACTGCCAGTCGGTGCCAGTGTGTGCGCGTAGATGAGGATTTTCCCGCTTGGCCACAATACACAGCACCACAGGCGTCGCATGGGATCTCGCAATCTACTTCAATTTAACCAAGATATCCAACCCTATCACTAGGGTGCACAAGCTGGATAAACGAATTAATCGTCGTTTTTGTGTTCCAGCTGCATTTGGTGCTTATTCAAGTGTCTTTAAACGTGTTCAGACACATTCCTAATGTATGCAGAATTCGTCAGGTTTTTGCTTTATGTACATAATTGGAATTATCTCATTCCTCCTCCTTTAACTCTTGTTGCTTTACGTAATGCGGCACGAAGTTTCTAGGGTAACCGCTTTGGGAAAATATTTCAAACGGGTAAGTTAGCTCGGGTCGGCATGTTTCCGTCGTCAGAAAAACGTCTTTGCTCGGTGAAGCAGATTGTTCACGCTGCTCCTCTTGTGAGGGATTGGGTTGTTGCCATCAAAGTTTAGAATGACTTTCGCATGTGTTTCTTTGCGTTGAACGGATGTGCACATAGTTGCATCAGTCTTTTACTGTACGTGAATATTTGGAAATGTGAGTGTATTGTCCACTCTTTTCTCGACCTTGGCAGTCTTCTGAGTCACGACTTTCAACTCATAGGGATAGTTTAAAAGCGCGTCAGGTTGTTTGTATTGAAGAAATGCGTTGGAGTTTCGTGGGGACGCGTCGGCCTCACTCCCTCTTCCCTCTTCCACAAACCACCACGTTTTCACTGTATTTCATGATTTGGCTTCTAGGTGACATTCAAGGTATGTGAGCACCTGCTAGGTCATAATTCAGCAAACCATGGCCCTTGCAGCCCGGTTTCTTTGGCACCTGGTTCCCTTCCAGCAGATACGCTTGAGCTCTCGCTGGATATACAGGTCGTGAGTATGGCTGCCCAGTCATCCTCGTCTTTCTGACTCGTTGTTGTGGTTAAAATCCTGATCAAGTGCTTGTTATGGAGCAGGGGTCCGGGTCCGGCCGTGCCAGCCACCTGCGTCCTCCCCCCGCCTCCGGTCTTTTTGGCTATATCTCGAAGCCGGACCGAGGTGATGAGGAGGAGAGAGTGCAGTAGATGCTGCGCAAGTCCGTCTTCACTATAAACTAATTTACGCGCCTGCTTCACCTTGCGGTGGAGCACAAGGCGGACATTGTCGGGCAGGACGGTTGGACTGTTGTCAGCTTAAATACTTGCCTTATGTACATAATTGGAATTATCTCATTCCTCCTCCTTTAACTCTTTTTGCTTCACGTAATGCGGCACGAAGTTTCTAGGGTAACCTCTTTGAGAAAATATTTCAAATGAGTAAGTTAACTCGGGTCGGCATGTTTCCGTCGTCAGAACAACGTCTTTGCTCGGTAAAGCAGATTGTTCACGCTGCTCCTCTTGTGAGGGATTGGGTTGTTGCCATCAAAGTTTAGAATGACTTTCGCATGTGTTTCTTTGCGTTGAACGGATGCGCATATTGTTCCGTCAGTCTTTTACTGTACGTGAATATTTGGAAATGGGAGTGTATTGTCCACTTTTTTCTCGCCCTTGGCAGCCTTCTAAGTCACGACTTTCAACTCATAGGGATAGTTTAAAAGCGCGTCAGGTTGTTTGTATTGACGAAATGCGTTGGAGTTTCGTGGGGACGCGTCGGCCTCACTCCCTCTTCTACAAACCAACACGTTTTCGCTGTATTTCATGATGTGGCTTCTAGGTGGCATTCAAGGTATGTGGGGATCTGCTAGGCCATAATTCAGCAAGCAATGGTCCTCACAGCTTGGTGTACGCTGGCATTTCTTTGACACCTTGTTTCTTACCGGTAGGTACGCTTGAGCTCTCGCTGGGTATACAAGTCGTGAGTATGGCTGCCCAGTCATCCTCGTCTTTCTGACTCGTTGTTGGGGTTAAAATCCTGATCAAGTGCTTGTTGTGGAGCAGGGGATGTGGTGGTACGCCCAGGTGCGGGTCCGGCCGTGCCAGCCACCTGCGTCCTCCCCCCGCCTCTGGTCTTTTTGGCTATATCTCGAAGCCGGACCGGGGTGATGAAGAGGAGAAAGTGCGATAGATGCTTCGCAAGTCCGTCTTCACTATAAACTAATTTACGCGCCTGCTTCACCTTGCGGTGTAGCACAAGGCGGACATTGTCGGGCAGGACGGTTGGACTGTTGTCAGCTTAAATACTTGCCACACTTAACCTGATGGTGATATTGTACGCCATTGATGACTCCTTCATCGGCAACAAAGCATTGACATCGGTTTTGATAGAACTTGTCCAAAAATCTTGCATATGGAACATTCAGTCAGGGCGATAGAAGATGTAGAAATAGTTAAGAAGGCCAATTGCCAAAAAATAGTGATTTTTCGGGAGGCGGGTTCCTAATTTCATTCAAAAATGAGGGCTTTCTCGCTGAATATTCTTCGTGTTGCATACCATTTGAAATTGTAATCAGGATCTGTGTAAAGAGTCGATGGCTCCGAAGAAATTCATGGGTCATTGAGCGTCAAGTCGCATGTTCTGCTATTGATCCAGAGGCCCGCTGTCCTGTTAGTGGTGGTCTGGAATATTCACTATCGCAAGCAGGTGCGTTCACAGCTCAAGTTATGGGACAGTTTCGTCCCTGCATATATTGCATTCTGCCATGCGACTACTTGCCAGGGACCAGTATTGAGCTGAAGACGAGCCCGTTCCCTACTGCGGTCAGCGAACATCCTCCCATCACTGTTAATATTTCCGATCACAACCGACAGTGCAGTGAGCTCGCGGCTCAGTGAAAGAACGTTGAACTTGACGCTCATTGACCGGGTTCGAATCCCAGGTCCCGTAGGCCTGGGCTCCGGTATGTCCGGCCGGCGATAGCTCGTGAGCCTGAAGCTACCATTCCGGTCTGGTCTTTCTTTGTCAGAACCCCCTCGCCGCATGTACTGCTGGTCCCTTTACCAGTGAGGACGTTAGGTTGAACCCCATGGCGCTACGATCGGTGAACGTTCCTGTGCACATTAGCAACAACATTTTGCCCGGAGGAGGAGGAGGAGGAAGAAGCAAGCGAGATTGCGGGTGGGTCTTTAGACTACACAGAAGCACGACATTTGAGACTATTCTGCATGCGGCTTTCTTCAGACTGCCAACGCCCGTAATTATTTCGTCTACAGCCCAGGATGATGACGTAAGTCTGCAGGTAAAATTACCAGCGCACATTCATTCCAGACTGACTAATTCCGTCGTGTTTCAACAGGTACGTTCGAGTTTTCTGTTCATGTTTATGCAGGTTGGGTGTGCCGTGTTCACGTGAGTGTGAATGGCAAATGTCCGCGTCTGGGTGTAGACCTGTCTAACTCCCAAGCCAGTTACTGAGCAGAAAACAGCCATTCCCAACGTCCCCCCCCCCTCTCTGATTCCGAAACCAGACGGACCGCTATTTTCGAAATGCCGTGCATGCTTTGTAAATCCATTCAGCTGCTTTAAATAAGATAGAATCATACGAAATGAAAAGTTGACAAAAAAGCCTGCAGAAACCCCGTCGTCGCATCTTTGGGGGAACTTCATTAGCAAAACTAGAGACGTCGAGAAAATGGAGTGAGACCGTAGAGACTCTGGACTTTTCCGCTGTCATATTTCACGTTTAAATATGTGCCATGAATTTCCGTTGCGTGAGTCATGAAGTGATTGTGTCATGACTTTTAAGCCCGCAGTCTATTAGCAAACAGAGCAATCGTCCACCCCTCCATACTCTGTTTTAAGCATTTTACGCTGGTGTACACCGTCTCTAGTAACAGCAATAGTGATACAAATTGCCGAGTAGGTATCACGCCGGTCACCGGTACAGCTGATGAAGTTGCATCATTTCATTTCGACCCAACATCGGTGGGATTATTTGAATTATTTGGAATCTGTCAGAACACCTAGAAATTGCATCAGTCAATAACCGGATGTGCACCAATGAACCACAGTTAAACCAAGCACGGACATCTGTGAAGCTACTAATTTTAGTAGGTGTGTGTGGCTCGCAACGACTGATCTCTCTCTCTCTCGCTTGGTCCGATACCTTCAGCTGTTGCTGTTTTAAATGCTGGGTTCGAGGGTGAACTCAAAATGCCAGACGAAGAAATTCTTGTTTCAGTGACTTAGCCTCCATCTTCGCATTTACTTACTCATATACTGGACGAGATTAGTCGTTTGCGGCTCAATTGAGTCCATGTTACGTGCTCACCTCATATAATCTGACAAGCTTCGATTGCCATCGGTCGCCGCAGCGTAGGTGTGTACTTTTGTACACCTGCTCCGAGGTCCTCAGGACCTGAGAAGCGTTCAAGGCCAGAATCAGCCGCCTCCCAGCAAATCTCCAGATGGCTTCCTCGAAGGCACCGCCAGTCGAACGCTTACGTACCAAACAACAGCCGGACGATTTCGCCTTCGGGTCGGTACAGCATACGGTTCAGCTATCTTACTGGGTGAGAAAGGAAGACAATCTTGACGGGTTTTCTTTGCGGACGAGCTCCACGGGCGTTCGCTGGTGATGAAATCAAGAAGACGAATTCAAATAACGGGAAGCAAGCACCACTGATGGAAGAATATTAGGCAAGTGGTAGATTTGGAACGCAAAAGTCGTGTCTTACATCCTTGAAGAAGAAATATCCTGACGGATACCGTGAAAACTAAGGAATCAGTGTTCTGACTAACATCACATTAATTTCATAGGTTTCGGCATAGGTTGATCCAGTATTTGATCGCATCGTTAGCTTGCCGTATTGATAGTAGATTAGACACAGGGCGTCGTAAGCGGTCAGTTAGCCCAAAGGTTTTACCGTCTTTTGGTTGTTTGGATTTTTTTGACCGTCTGCCTTCGCGCCGGCCTGGTACACGGGAATCTGCGGAGGAGCTCTCCGATCTTGCAGCTTCAACGTAGGTCAGATCCACGTTGCAATTGACACGATCTAATTTAACATGGAGGTGGTCGGCCAGTGCCTGTTGAAAAACCGAGCCTCACGCGTTGATTAGAGAACACACTTCTGGTGGATGCTGGAAGTAACATCGACAAAACCACCCTTCTCACCCTTAGCACAAACTAAACCAGTCGAAGTAACATCAGTGGCGTTCCCGCATGTAGCATTAACAACCACTAGGAACCCAAGCGAACTAAGTCATAAAAAGGATCAAGAGCAACAAAACTGGCAGGAGTAAGCTGTCTGGAACAGTGGTCGAAGCTGAAAGCCCGTAGACACGAAGAATAAGGATTAACTTGCAACAGATGTGCCAACTCATGAAATATTAATCAAAATTCTGAAATGCGCTTTCGACTCGAAAAGATTACTTAAGTAGGGTTGTGATATTAATCCCCTCGCGCCATAATCCCATAATAATGCAGTCACTTCAGGATACCAGCTTTTGAAAAAACCTCTTTTTGGCCGTCAGCTAAAGCAATACTCCGCAAAAAATGACTGTTTATGTGGCATGAATTTTTCTCATTGATTTTCGACGCTCTAATAAATTTAAACATATCTCATAGAAAACATGCATAAAATATTCATTCCTCTACTCATTTGATAAAAATTAACGTCTTCTTCAAGTATGATATCTGAATAAAGTATATAATTCGGTTTTAAAGAGCTTTTCCACTTCCCGAATAATTTTGAACCCGACCTGTCGCTACAACTGCATTCAGGGTTTCCAAACTACAAACTGTATATTTTGCATGTACGAAAAACCATTCATTTCTCTACGGTATTAAGAGGAGACCATACGGGATTCATAAAATTTAGCAGTGGAGTTGAGCCATATTGTAAAGTTTACGAGCAACATTAGTAAATGCAGAGTCACGAGGTCTTATGAACGGGCATTGCACGGTCTTAAAAAATCCCATTATTGGAAAATTTTTAAAACAGAATTATACCCGTCCCTCAAGTTTAAAATTTGCAGAAGACGTAGTTTTCTACCAAATGAGTGAAATAGTGAATTTTTATGCATGCTGAGAAACACTTAAATTTATAAGTGTATCTAAAATCAATTAGAATACTTTATGCTACGTAAGTAGTCATTTTTGGCAGGCGTTCGAAAAGAAATTCACTCAAAAGCTGGCATCCTGAAGTAACTGAATTGTTAGAGGGTTATTCTGCACGGTGATTAGTATTACAACCCTCCTTAATTATTCTTTATGACTCGAAAACGCACTTCAGAATGTTGGTTAACGTCTTATGCTTTACCACACCTACTGTATTCCCATTCTGCCAGGAGAGTCCCTGATTCCTTCTTATCCGCAAATTGTGGAAGCGACTGAGATCGGGCGATTGCGGAGTCCTCAGTACAGTTTTCAGGAAACCCATGCCGACTACTCCTTACGCGATTTCTTTTCGCCCTTCACGAAGATCTGCCAGGTTGGCTCAAGTCATAGACAGACCCTAGCTACTACGGCCACCAGGCCACCCAAATGACAAGAAGAGAAGTTGGATGCCCGTTAAGAGAGAATTATATTGTATGCAGAATTAATAAGGAGCAAGTTGGCTGTCGGACGAGACTACAAGTTCGCCGAGGTCAGGGTAGGCATCCGGGTGCCACTGGGGTGGTGACTGAGCCCCTCAAGTGAGAGCATGTTGATCGGCCGACTTGGATAATTACGATTGGCCGGGAGCCAGATTGTCATTGGTATATACGTGAAAGCACGGGTAAGAGGCGCATTGTTGAAGTAGGCGCCCGGAGTGTGGTCACCACGGACGCGTGGGATGACGTCATTCTTGGCTCGGTCGTTGGGGAGTTGAATTCTTAATGAAAAGGTCGCGGGATCGAGCCTAAGCCGTTCCACACTTCGGGGTTTGGTGTGGTTGGCTAACGACGGCTAATAAACCGCAAATTGTCATTTCGGTCTCCCTTGTCTTTCGGCCGATATCACGCGCCGCTATGTGGCTGCTGGCGGGACTCAGGAGAGAGCCCCAAGGCACAAAGAAACGAAATCCCAAATTGCAATTAGCGACTCGGACGCGGACTGACGAGTAGGCATCGCCTTAATTACGACCCTCAGCGGTGATCACGAGAGCTGTTAATTATAGTACGCATGTAGCCCCACGGCAGATACGTACTATAAATACTGCAGCCTTTGTGCCTCCACTACCTTTATCTACAACCGTCTCTGGAGAGGTGTTCGAGTGAGAATGCGAAATGTCAGGCCAATAAACTTCTTGTTCCTGTGATCGTATCTTCTTCTGAACAGCTTCCTGCAACTCGCCTGTTCGCTTCTGTCTGCAATGGCGGATTGTTGCACTAGGTGCACGCCTGCAGCAGACGTAAACCGATGTCGTTGAACTGTCGACGTCTTGCCGACCTAACACACCCTCCCGTTTGTCATTGGCTTATACGTAGGCGAATGGTAAAAATAATTGGAAACATTCGGTATGTTCGCATTACAAAAAGTCTTTGATGTTGTGGCACATTTTCATTGTAGCTTTAGAGGATTATGGCTGCGACGAATTTCTACCTGCAGGGTGAGAGTTGCGTAACTACGGAACGACAGGAGATTCCCCACGGACGACAAGGCGACTGTCTCAGAATGCTGTTTTTGATTAGGAAAGTGACTCTGACGCTTCGGTATTTTACCGCAGGACATCTAGGTCGGGAGAATTTTGCCTCCCACACACCCATTCCCGTTTTCTTTGGTCGCAGAAGCGGGTCCAACTTGTATTGCCCAAATCTGCCGACGCCCTGCAGGTTTTCATGTGCAACGGCCATTCTAGACTTCCAGCATGTGTAGGGTCAGCTTGGTATGCAGAATGCTAGTAGACGCGAATAGGACCGTTTTTGTATTTGGTTTCGTTACCGCATATTCCACTTGCTTATGTCATTATCAACCAAAATATGGTGTGATTACCAATGCATTTCAGGCAAGTTTTGCAGACTTTTCTTGTAGAGAGGAATCAGGGAATGCTGTGCTGTATACGACTGTTGACCTTCGGAGGGGAGTACGAACTTTCGCATGGGTCAGGATTTTCATTGGGGAAAGACGGTCCTAATTAGCTTTGCCGCTTTCGAAATTACACTTTGTCCTCTCCGTTGGTCGTTTGTTGTGGGAGAAGGGTAGAGATTGCTGAACAGATTTTCGCAAACAGGCCGCAACACACCACTTTGCAAGCCCTCCAAATTCTCACTTCATTAATCGCCTGACCAGCGAAGTTTATTTGCGAGAAAGCATTTCGGAGGTTTTTGTTTCTGTGCTTTTATTGCAAAAAAGTCACGCAGGATGTAACGCTTAATAGAGATAAGGGATAGACTGGTCGGTGCTTTCTAAAACAGCATTTCGAGCTGGAATAGAACTCGAAGCCGCAAATTTCGGAACCTGAATCAAATTCAAAGTTCGAGCTTCAGAATTCATCCAAACAGGGGTTTTTACAATCCTAGGAAATCGCTCTCACATACCTGTGACTACACCTACCAGTCCTTTTCTGTGGGGAGTGAGAGTTTGATGGTAGCACAGTGGACTGTAAAAATAGTTTATGAACAGAAAAACCGCGAACAAAAAATTTTGTCGTAAGGACCAAATTACAACGGCGTTTTCTAATGTCCCGCCTGGCTAAATTCTACACCCGCCTTTGGGGTGTAAGACCCGATAGGGGCAGGATTGTTCTAATGAGGCAGAAAGAGAACAGACTGAAAGAAGAGACTGGAAGGGTAAAGATTAGCACCGGAGGTGTCTATTCTTGATGTTTTGACGCTGAGTGCGGTGAAGCATCTTCAAACTCGAAATAAAAGCCAGTGGATTTTGTTCCTCCAAAGCCTCAGCTGTAGTTTCCGAGTGTTTGCTCGTTCCCTTCCGACCAACAAAACCGTGTGCACCGCCTGACATTTCTTTTTGATTGCTTTTTCCTTCTCTATGTATCCTATAATGCGTTGTTTCCCTCTTCAGACGTTCTCTATTAGTCAAGTTTATATCCGTCCGTTGAGGTACATTTTGACTGTGCGATGCCAAGGAAATTGAAAACTAACCCTTTAAGAGATAAGCAACAAACCGTTTCGCCGCCCAGAGTCATCAAGCCAATGGTCACTGCGCGTAAGCCGATTTTCCCTATACTGCAACCGGGCGATCTACCCACTATAGGATGTCTTTAAGTAAAGTAGTGTAGTGGGGTAAGTAAATGCATTGTTTTCCGTTATGAACGTTTACTGTCTAATATAGTACACAAGTGAATGCACATACTAAGTATTACGTTTTACAAGTTAACTTCTGGAGGTTTTATGACTGCTCTATTGTAGGCAGCCACCCGCCGTCTCGAAGACATTCTTAAATCCGTCCTCTAGTCTACGCCGGCCGGACTATTTGGTTGCATTCCATTCGTTAAAAACGTCTCAAGTGTAATTGATTGAATTGCAGACGATAGAAGTCCTACCAAAGATTGGAACCCATTCTTAGGGGCATGTCAATATCGATGGGATAATGTGTGGATATCGATATGTCGAAATACATATGCCACCCGGATATCAACTTTGGCAACTTTTTTGATATACCCCTGATATTGATATGTCGAGATTAAGCGACCTATGCGAAAAGTCGATGCACTAATCAAATCAGGCAAATATCAAATGTACGCTACTTCCCTCTAGTTAAGGCGCTCATGCTTTACTTCCGAGACCCTTTAGTCATGTAACTTCTTCTACCGTGTATAAGCGGTGCCGAGTACTTCAGCCCAAACCGAACCCGCATTTGCCGTGAAGAAAAGCGAGAGGCATTTTGCGAGTTGTTTATGAATAATAAATATTTGATTAAAAAAGCTTACAAGAATAGAAGCCCTTAGCGGAACAGTCCATATATTCTAAGTGACGTTTCAAGTATTGCTGTTAATGTTGACGGCCCGGCCACATGTTTTAAAAGTTAGATGGTAGTAAAATACGTGTGCATTTGGCTAACCGTTCACTTCCGAGGCTGTCTTACGTTCGTAAGGACTTTCATCTGCGGCGCCAACTTACCGCATTGGATGTTTGCTAAAATAAATCTCCAGTTCATAGCTGTTGGCACGCTCCCCGCTGTTCCGCCTATGGTAAATATCTGCGCGGGGTATTTTTAGTAGGATATGCGGCAACCCACACAAAATTTAAACTTCGTGCGGCAATATTATTTTCAAATTCCTCCTTAATAGCAATGCCATTAAAATAAGACTTGAATCGGATTCGAATTTAGTTCTAGGTTTCGACCAGTCGGACTCGAATCAGATGTCGAAATTAGGAAACATGTTTTTCTATCTAACCGACAATCTACATGTTTTGTTTATAAGCGACCTTCAAAATCAACCACCCGATTGCCTACTTTAACAACCAAATACAGTGGTAGTTTATATTGATTTCGGACTTTGAAGAATGTAGGCGTTTTCGTAGACACAAACAAATGTAACGAAAATGCAGAATGGAAAAAAAGTACAAGGTGATCATTCACTTACGGATTAAAAAGCCAAATTTATTACTTAGACCTGGCAAGTCTCCAAACGAGGCATGAAAGCACATTTCTGAAAAGCCGAATTAATTCAAAAATAGTTATATTTTTCAATTTTAAAATGTATTGTTTTACTCAACTGGAAATCCGAAACGCATTTTAATCCCGGGGGAGTACTTTGTATTGAGAGGGAAATATACAACAGCATCATAGCGCTCTTGCTTCAAATATACGGCTTGCATTAATAGTAATTATCGAATAGCAATAGTCATTCCTATGGCGTAATTTAAGAAAGAGTATGCTTTCTAAAAAAATATGTTTGAATTCGCAGGTATATATACCAGGGAATTCATAGCATTTAGTCGCCCAGGGCTAGACATTTGCCAGCCTGTTTGACTTGCAGGCTAGTAATCTGACTGGTTGACAGTGCTCGATCTGTGCGAGCAAAGTAGCTTTTCTGCTACGCCCCCTCCTTGATGCTCACTCGAGTGCATTTTGCAGGTCACGCCTGGGGTTCCCTTTGTGCGTACGCACGCATGCAGGGCGCACGCACCCACTTTTTTCCCGAATTTAGGCCCCTATCTGGTGAATTAAATCGCCTCAAGCGACTAGACCCTAAACTCACCCGAGAAGGCGCATCAACCTACTGTCCCCGTGTGGACGATGTCCGTTAGGATTGCTGAAAAAAATCCAGTCACTTGCAACACTAGCCCGCGACTGGGCCAGCCCTGGGTGAGTAGAATGCTATCAGGGTAGCTTTGTATATATACAACCACACACCCCAGTTAGTTGTTTACGAGCATCAAGGGATGATGTAGACAGTTGCAGGCAGATTCACTAACCTCTTTTTTCCTGCGTGGTTGTAGGTAAATTAATGGAGTCCACTGATTAAGAAAACGCTCGCCTTTAACGCGGCCTTTAACTCATAAAGGTCTACACGGCCTTCTTTGTTCCACAAGGCACACACCTCTATTTAACAATATAAGGCTTGCAGATACGTTAATTATCTCGTATACCTGTGATCCACACAGGCCCTCCTTATCTTTTGCCCTTGAAGTTAATGTGTTCCGTCACATCGTCATTAAAAAGGGCGCAAAACACCCTCTTGGCGAAGTCGTCGCTGTCCCTTCCACCAAGACAGATCAGGAAATCCATCTAAAAATATGTCGTGACATTTTTAAAAGCGTACCAGTCGACCTCTGTACTATGGGTCGCAAAGCCTGCTATTGACCGCAGTGAACTCGAACTTCGTGCATATAGGCCGCCGAATGGGATTAGAGGGCAAGGCGGCCGTCGAGTCATTAGATGCATTCTGTCCATCTTTCGAAAATGATCTCATGAGCTGCAGGCGCTCATGCACACGCATGTTACTCTTGACCAACTATGCCAACTGCCCGCGCATAAGCTTTTGTTCCTGTGTTTGGCGCTCCAGTTGGTGCAGAATGGTCGCGATGCACCGTTTTACCCCTATGAATTAATTTAAACTGTGAGAATGACCCACCCAACAATGTCAGGCGGCCGTCTTCCCTGCAGACGTCGGGTCGCCCGTCTATTCTAAGCGCTGCTTGCTGCAGTAAACTGGACGGTTTTCAAGGCAAGCGCTTAAGTCTCCCCAGATAAATCTCGAAAGAGAAAGAAGAAAAACCGCCCAGGGGACCATGTCTGTAAGTAAGAAATGCTGTGAATGCCGTAATTATTCCCAGCGAGCCTTTACAGCATGACACCCATTGCCCGCACGAACACAGACGAATCATACGTCACACAGCAGTAAATAGCGATAGGATGAAGCACACCACTAATTGGACCAAAATTTTGGTCCACGTAAGCAGGCCTGTTCCCGGGAATTACAATTTGCGGAAATTATTCAACCAACCCCTCAGTTACCCGTTGTTTTTGCATCCTTTTACATGTAAATCAAGCCGGTACCTCATTATGCCCGTAATGAGTTATTTGCAGGGACTGTTGTCCCCTGTGTCAATAATTGTTTTAATCTGCCACAGAGTCAACGGCGTAAGTCATCAGTGTTCATAGGAATTTGCATGCGTATATTGAAGTTTGGGTTTACGCCTTAGCTCTTGGGAAACAGTGTTTTCTGGAATAATCTTTCATTCTTAACCGCGAGTCCAGACCCGGAGCACTTGCATTTTACACACTATTGTTGTCCCCTTTTTGTTGTTTGTGTGAAAACCTGCTCCATCTTACGCGAGCCAGGTGTGTGCAGCACGCTTACCTCCAAGTAGCCTTGTTATTTCGGTGCTGTCCGATCTTAATAATGAGCGGCGCAGACGAAACCTGAAGCACGCAGCGAGTCTGCTCCTGCCTACCGGACGAGCATGTAATCCCATCTGTAGCGTGTGTAATTCATGAGCCTCTTATGATCAGTGAGATTGTCCCATTTCCGATGCCTGCACGACTGATACCCCCGGGTCAGGATTCACAAGTGAAAGCAGTTCCACTTCGTCGAATGGGACCTCTGCCTGTCACGTCAGCTCCGGCCAGAGTTCAGCTGTTGTCTTTGTGTCCCCTTCCCACTTTTCCCTGCTGTGGTGGAAATTGCAAAAACAAATTCTTACCGGATGTCTTCGGTCAACTAATAGTCTGACGTCCTTTTGAAGGCTGGTACACGTACACGGACCATTCAACTTCGTCCCTAACCGAGTTTATGCCTGTGGGGAACGCGGTGGACGTTGTCGCCTACGGCGGTCGAACTGTCGTCGTCATCATGGCATACAAACCACGGGCTACATTCTGTTGTGCGCGACCACAGTAAAAGGTTCCGACCCTCAGCTGGTTCACGATTTTCCCCGCCATTATTAGAGGCACATGCTCCAGATCACTAAGCCCTCGAACTCTGACGTCTTCTCTCTGTACCTCTCATCCTACCAGCATCTGCACCTGGAGACGCGATGGTGCTGAACAACACTTTGTTTACAATACGCCTCAACAGACTGAAGCGTTATCAAGGACTACTTGCCAGACCTTTGGCTGACAATCGTCTTATTCCCCTCGCCCACCCTGTACCCGGCCCATCCAACTTACTTGTCCTTAGTCGAACTCCTTAACGTAAACCGGGCAGAAGGTGACGCTCTATTATACCAGATGCAACGCCTGTGTGACTGAGTCGTCCTTTTGTCTCGTCGCGGTCATTGAGTTGTCCCAGTAGCAGTGAAAACGCAATTCCCGGGAGGTATGTCAAGAGAACGCCTCCCCTTTATTTGACACCGAGCTAGTTTATGTCTGTCGAGAAACCCCGTGCCCCGGTCTACGCCTTAGTCGTTGGGAAGTGTTTTCTGGAATGATCTTTCATTCTTAACCACGGGTCCGGCCCTGGAGCACTTGCTTTTTCTCTTTGTTTTTTGTGTCGTCCCTTTTTCTCGTCGCAGTCATCGAGTTGTTCCAGTAGCAGTGAAAACGCAATCCCCGGGTTGCATGTTAACTGAACGCCTCCCCGTTATTTGACACCGAGCTAGTTTCTGTCTGTGCACCGAAAAAAGTTAGATTGCAAGGAACTCTCTTGTGCCCTTTCGTCTACTTCTTTTCCTTTCTACGTCGTTGCCTTGTCAATTTCTTCTGATCACTTATTAAATGAGCTTTCCACGCATCTCCCCTACCGTCCGCATGTTTAAAAATCTTAAATGCGCCCGAAGCATACTTTCCACTCTGTTATTACCTGACCCGTTGTAGATCCTTGCATACCGCCTGTCTTTACCGATCAAAACAGGGCCGCTCCAACTGTAAGATCTCCGTCGTCAGTATGTGTGGGCGAACTGCTTGGTAGGACTGTTTATCGCTATCACTACTTGCTTTAGTGCTTTGCACAAGAAGTCGATTTTGTCTAGATTAACAACTCTGGGCCACGGGAAATTTGCCTTTCATTGGGCAGATTCTCCTTCACTCGGTGATTTTGTTTCCTCCTACAACAAGGCTCCGGGAAGTTTGAAGTAAGCTTCTCCGTCTTACTCATGCAGGCCTTGAAATCTTCCTTTTCTTTGTATTTGTTGTCGTTGTCTGTCGTTTATATGTCGCGTACTTTGTTGACAAGCTGGAGCCATTTAATTGACACCACAGCAGACAGTTAGGAAATCAGAAAATTCGATTCTAGGACGACTGATCAGTATTACTGCGGGGACAACTCTAGAGGATAGGTTAAGTACGGAAGAATCCTTTACTGAACGAGTCTCGTCGATTCTGAGGAAATTCGCTTGCACCATCGATCCACTGCATGCCCCACGAAGTGTGCGCACGAATTTGTTTATAGTGAGACAGAGTTGCTCAGTATCAACCACACTCTCCTTTCCCACGCTCCTTCCTCCGATGACAAGACATTGCCAAGATGTCCGTAGGTGAGTGCGGGCGCAGTAGTCAGCAATTCTAAACAACCAGTCTACGCGTCCCACACGCGGTCCGGTCCGCATTTCGTGTACCGGGCTTTTCTAAGGGCGGTTCGGACCTCGCATCGGTGACGGTGTCAGTGCAGCCTGATTCGCGGTCCTCAGAGTGGCCGAGTCATTTGACAGTTGTTGCGAGCAGTCATCATGGCCCGTCTGGCGTCATTTTTCAGGACCTCGCTGCCTCAAAGTCATTGACCCCTTTCAGCGAGCCATTCCAGACTCGCTGACCTGAAGCCGCTCGACCGACTTCAGCTCGAACAAGATTGCGTCCGCACAGAGTCGCAGCTGCCCATGCGCCACCCCCTTGCAGCCAGCAGCATAAGGCACTGGGACACTGCCCCTCGGCAAATGCAACAAACACCTATTGAAGCCCACTTGAACTTAGCCCACGAGCCTACGAAAACGGCTGCCACGACCGTTTTAAGAACGCTCAGGCATGACTAGGCGCGGTCAACACCAGCCCTGGCTACGCCAGCGGCCACTACCGCCTGAGAGGACAACTCGGTTTCTGTATACAATAAATCCTTCGTCCTGGTAAATGCCGTCTTTTCCGTACAACTTGAGATTTGACCTGATGATTGTAGCACTCTGAGTACACACATAATCCGCCTGGTCGGTACAGAGCCTTCCAAGCCACGACTCCTGGTGTGTCTTTATATGTTCAGTCACGTCAGATGTGTTATGATGAGGAAGGTGCTGATTTGTCATAGGGATATCAATGTCGACGAGCCCAATCACCTAAGAGTCCACACGGATGACGAAATCCGGTAGTCAGACGCTGTGCGGCGTGCGATGAGCCTGGGAGTCGATAATCTTGACCGACATGCAGGAGCATAGCAACGCCGTACTTCAGCACCTGGCTAGTCGAGTTGTGATGCACTCGGGAGCTGCCAATTGTGAAAGGCATGTAGCGGCCAGGCGACTGTCTCTGATGATGGATTCTAGTGAGAATCTGAAACGTCAGGCTGATAAAGCGCTTGTTCCAGCGATCGTGTCGCCTGTCAAGCAGCCGGTGATAGAATTGGGCGCAGTAGTTGGCGCAGCGTGCAATTTTACATGTGAGCCGTGTCGCAACATGCATGTACAGTACTACCTTCAGACTGCATTGCCCGATAAGCTCGTGCCGCGAGGCAATCCGACTCCCTTAACTGTCCAGTGCAGCCTGTTGCGGGGTCCATTTTACAAAGTCCCTTGCGGGTCTTGAAATCGTCAGGTTCTGTGCTGCCATCCGCGGCCTCTCAGTAGTCCGCAGTTGTTCACAGAAAGACCGAGGGGACCGCTGCTGCTACTGCCACTACTACTACTACTACTACTACTACTACCACTACTGCTACCACTACTACTACTACTACTACTACTACTGCCGCTATTACCACCACTACTACTACCATTACCACCACCACTAATACTACCACTACTACTACTGCCACCACCACTACTACTACTACCACCACTAATACCACTACTACTACTACTAGTACTACTACCACTACTGCTACCACTACTACTACTACTACTACTACTACGACTACTACTACTATTACTACTACCACTACTGCTACCACTACTACTACTACTACTACTACTACCACTACTAATACCACTATCATTACTATTACTGAATTCGTCGTAACTTTCTTTTACGCGAAGATTCTAGTTAGTCTTTCTCAGGCTAGCATCATTCTTAACCCTGTAGTTGGTGCTGCTCAGGCGTGGTGAACTGTGGGTTGCAAGTAATTACGATTAGTACCTGCCATTGGGCTCATCACAGTCAATATCACTGGCAAACGGCGCTGCATGCGTGCTGCCATTTGTTTTGAAATATTAACAGGTGCAGGGTGCAGACCCGAGCTTGCGGCGCCGACGCCCCCAGAACGTTTAGCTGAAGTGATCGCTAACACACCGCGGCCCTGGTTAGAACCTTAAGTATGAAGTTTAGTGGTGACAACTAGACCAAGAGTGGCCATTTCGGCCTCACGTCTTTGTTGATGGTCTCCACATCGAAATGCAACGTTAAAGCCTGATAAACCGGTCGACTACAGCCTCTAGCAATGTCAAGATGACCGTAAGCGAGTGCGGGCGCAGTGGTCGTCAATGCTTAACAACCAGTCCACGCGCGCTACATAGGATCTGGTCCGCACTTCGTGTACCGGGCTTCTCTAAGGGCGGTTCGGACCTCATATCGGTGACGGTGTCAGTGCAGCCTGGTTCGCGGTCCTGAGAGTCAATTGACAATTGTTGCGAGCAGTCATGGTGGCCTGTCTGGCGTCATTGTTCAAGACCTCACTGTCTCAAGGTCATTGATCCCTTGCAGCGGGCCATTCCAGGCGCGCTGACCTGAAGCCACTCGACCGACTTCAGCTCGGACACACCTGCGTCCGCACAGAGTCGCAGCTGCCCCCGTGCAACCAGCAGCATAAGCCACTGGGACACTGCCCACTAGAACTTGGCCCACGAGCCTACGGAAGCGACTGCCCGATTAACCGATTGACTACCGCCTCCAGCGCCTGCATATATGCGCCAAATGCGATGATAGCGTTTTGAGTACTATTGTGCTCGTCGGGCCTTTGTAGGTGGATCTTGAGTGCCTTAAACCCACAAAATACAAATTTCTGGCCTCCGCGTACTACTTTTCGGATGCGAGCACTATAAAACACACTCCTCAATTATGACTTGTGACCCCTCGCAACAAAGACTGAAGAGGGCTGATATGACCCACGCCAATGCCTCGTTGACTCTCGTGAAATTTCTAATCATTTAAAACTGGTCTCAAACAGCATGCCGGTCAACGAAATGACATTCCAGTCTTCTGCATCTTCAACCGCTGTTTGAGTCGAAAAAATCGGCTCTCAGCCCTCCGTAGGCCCTCACGTTCCAGGCCGTGGCTCTGTATGGAAATCGACTAGGATAACATGTTTCGCATCCACACTCACCTATTTTGCTTTCTTTCAGCCCAGTGATCATTTCTGCCGCCCATGGAGCGGAAGAGAAAACCGTGCAGGTCATGTACTGGGGACTTATTCCGCCCTTTGTGCCAGACGCTGTCCAACAGGCCTCCAAGCCCTCCCGCTTCTGTACTGCAAACGCCCGAGCCGACACGCTCTTCGAACGTCCTGCCTATCGAGAATCCCTGCGTCGTGGCTGGCGCTGCGTAGTCATCGCGCAAGGGTGAGTGTCTGAGCTTGTGGAGTAGGTAGTCGTTTGGGGCTCTCCCTCTGGTGTACACCGCCATTTGTTCCCTCAGGTTTTATGAATGGAAGACCACGGCGGGCCGGAAGCAGCCCCACTTCATCTCCGTAGATGGTAGATCTCCAGCAGTTGTCTGAATTCCCACATATATCCATTCTTATAGGCGGCAATGAACAGCTCCTCCTCATGGCCGGGTTGTTCTCAGTCAGTAAGGCGCGTGATGTGAGTTACTTATGCGTATCTATGCACACCTGTTGGTAGCTCTTCTCCTACACGATCATTACTACGGATGCAGTGAATGAAGTCGCCTCTATCCACAACCGCATGCCGGTAAGTTTTGGCTACAGTCGGATCAATCGTCCCTCCAAGATCATATTTGGAAATTTAGATGATGCAATGCAGTGGGTTCATGGTGGTCCTTTGTCCGCGAGTGAGGTGAGTCCTCCTAGCCGCCTTTTTTCATTTTTTGCCTCTCGTGTCATTTGGTCCTATGAATTCATCCGCTGTTTTCCAACATAAATTTTAATGGAATTTAGCTGATTCCTGAACACCGGGGCGTAGTAACGAACCCATATTTCTAATACACTTATTCCACCTATATTAAGTCGTCACAACCTGCGAGATCCCAAGATGAATTTCAGACGATGTGATTGCCTTTCGTGAGGCTAGGTCGCATAACGCTCCGCCGTTTTTACTTTAGGTGCGTTCTTTCCTTTCCAAAATGATTGCAAAGCTCGCCCACATGAACTTGCTCGTGTATCCAGTCACTCCAATGGTCAATTCCTCAGCATATGATGATCCAGTATGTATCAAACCTCAGGAGCACACGCCCAGCGTCAGGTCAGTGGGCTGGTTCGTTTTTTTTTAACTTACATCGGGCTCTTACACATTGGGAGCCGTAATTTTTCATTCACTCTATCCGTTGGAAACCACCGCTACCTGGCCAGACACCAGGAATTTGCTTGTGACGCAGTTTATAGCGAAACAGACTTTCGAAGCATCTATCTCACCCTCTTTTCCCACACTCACTGCGTTCCAATGGCACGACTGCGTCAAGACGTGCAGAGTTGGGCGTGATGGACTGCGGTTGTCACATTTGCTGGCCCTTGCGCGCACACCAACTATACCGTAAGAAGATAGTCGCGACATCTTTAAAGAGTTGCCTTAGCGATCACAGTAAGATGGAGTTTTTACAACTCAACCCTTGGTTCGAAGTAGGAGCAAGTTGTTCTGTCAGTTAGCAACCTTCAGCGGATTGTATGAGTCTACAGTCACCAAAATTGGTCGTTTTGGTCATGCTATGTGGCGGATCTTACTTACTTGTACCTGATACGGCTGCGATCACGCCTGATCTAGCCGGCCTCGACGATGTCCCAAACTGTACCTCTCCACGCGTGACGATCCGCGGCAGCAGATATGAACAGCTCAACCCATTCCCTTAGCCAACGACGTAGACCGAATACCAAAGGTCCAAGAATCACCTCCATGTCTTGATTAACTGGGTCGAGCCAGGTTTTTGAACTGGCCGCCTCATCGACGCCTCTAGTGGGACAATGGTGCCGGATCGAGGGCAGTAACACTGACCTCCCGAGGTGGACGACGAAGATCATGCCCGAACCTCAGTCGTCTTTCTTGGATGGCCTGAGTTATCCTTACGATGTTGTCGCAGCGAGCGCGGACTGTCTTATTTGAGACGAAGTCGCTGAACTTCATTCGAAGGATGGTCCTCAAGCAGTGGTGGTCAAATACCTCCAGTTTTCGCTCGTCCTCCACTTGCAAAGCCCAGCATTCACAACCGTAGAGAAGGACAGACCGGGCAGATGCACGGTACACGCGAATATTAGTGGCGATGAAGAGCTCACGTCGGATCCATAGGCGTTAGACCAGTCCGACTCCAGTCGTCTGGCGATTATTAACTCAGGCCTAGCGGCGAACGTGACTTAAAGCCTGTGTCCAACCCGTGTCACATACCCGTTTGACCCCTGTCTAGGTCCAGGCCAGTTGTGCAGCCACCTTTGGGGGCTTCTGCTACATAAGGCACCGAAAGAAAGTCCTGAAGTATGGAGGTCGTTGTCGCTGCCTTTGCTGTCTTTGCTCTCAGAGAATGGGAAAAGGCCGTTAATTTAGTGTGTTGCGTTTATTTATTGTGGTAACAACACCAATAAATATAGGTTTGTACTGCCCGCGGAGTTCTCTAAACTCCAGTCATTCGCGTCTTCGACGTCGGTTCCTGATTATGAGGACAAGTAGGATTTTCGATTTCTGGTGATCTTGTTGGCATCAAACGGACGATAGGACCCGTTCCGTGTGGAGCAGAGGTAAATCAAACAAAAGCCTGGTTTTACGTGCATAGAACTCAGAGGGAAGCAAACCTTGATAACTGAATTTCGGGTGCGGCGCTAATCGGCCTACTGGACCCTTCAAATCCTTCAAGTTACTGCACAACTGCATGTGGACTTGGTAATTTCTCGTTTGACCTAAGCGGTGGCAAAACCAAATACCTCAGTATCGGTCACGGTTGGTTAGATTTCAGTACTCAGCCGTCTCCAGCAGGTCAATTCTCCTGCATTCCACTACATGTTAAGCGGTGAATTAACCGCTTGGATAGGGGAGGGGGGATTTGACTCTGGTTCAACATAGCGGAAATTTTACCAGCTCAACGCTGCCATAGATTGGGCGGTTGTGAGATATTTGTAACAGACTTTAGCCCCAATTCCTCCAGGAGAATTTTTGCCATCATATGAAATCGCGGCATATTGTTGGAAGTCGTAGCATAAAGTACATTCTAAACATCCGCTTATTCTTTTACAGAGGTTATGCCATGAACGTTTGGTCGCTGGACAGCTCTACATTGCTATTTATAAGGTTGCTTCAATTACGGGGGGTCGGGCTGCGCAACACTTGCATACTTGCACATTCAGACTCAGCGCCTATTGATTTTTGTTTTAATCGTTTTTGTGTCGCCCATAATTTGTCGCATTGACTGCGGCTGTCACGGGACCCCCTTTGAACTAATTCAACTAGCAGGTTTAAGATAATGCAGTTTTATATCATGCCATTTCTATCGCCACTGTGACCGACTGGTGACTCCCAGTAAAACAGAATTACCTGTCCTTGTCGATGATTGACCTTAAGTTCCTCTTTCCACATTATTTTAGCACTAAATTGAAGACGACCCCGTCAAAGACACTGGATGCCTTCATGATCATCTCGCCGAAGATCGGTGCCGTCAGAAAGAAGGAGGAGGAGGACTCCTTCAAACCATCCCCGCCACAGTCGTCTGGTGAATTGCCTCATGCCCGCAAGCGATCCTTCACTGAAGGCAGCTCGATTTCTCCACCGAAGTACATGAAGTCCGAACACGAATAGATTTGGAGTTGAGCCTGACCGCACTCGGCCAAAATTCCTGCATTTACCTCGCGTTCAGAATCGCTCTTCGCATTTGAAGTTTACAGATGCATTTTCGCATACTTTTCACCCCAGATTATTTGACATTTCTCACTGTTAACGCTCAGGACCCTTGTCTATTTTTCGTCACTATTTTACACATAGAAGTTTAATTTGACTACGCTGACTTCTTTTCTCTGCGGGGTGTTCAAACCTCGGCTCGCACAGTCGAGGCCAGGAAAGCATGGCATTGGTGATAACTACTGGGAAGCCGTCAACAGTCACTATTTCTGTGGATGCGGCCACAAGCGGCCGACTTAGATCCCAATTAAAGGAATTGGAACAGAAAAATGCTTGTGTATGTCGATTGAGANCGTCCGATGAACAGAGTCCGGGCTCGAGTCGCAGACCACTCGCAGTATGGCTGTTTTATGATTGACAGTAAGTCGGAAGTGGTCATGCCAGTATCTCATGTCTTTGCCGACATTCATTTTCTCGTTATCACTGGTCGCTATTCAACCGCCTTCGAGGGCTCTGCATTGAGCCCCCAAGGTGGAACGGAATGAGGGTGTTTCGTGACCTGGTCATTAAATGCATTCCCATCGTATGGTGGACCCTTTACCGGCATCGTTCGCTACGTCTTCCTACGCAGCAACTAGGACGTGTAGGGCATGCGTTTCTTCAAAAACAGGTAGAATTACTTAATCGGAAGTTTGCATAATTCGGGTTAGCTCAAGCCTGTCTGCTGCACGACACCTGGCAGGGACTGTGCTTGGGAGTAGAAAGTTCTACTCTACCACCACACCAACCGATTATCGTCTTTCCTCACAAGCAGCCGCTGGCGATGTACGCAACCTCACAATAAAAAGGAACCTGGAGCGGGGAACTGATGGTTGTTTCGCTTCTGAAGACACAACCTCCTCAGGAGATGCGCGGTTTATAAAAATGCATCTCATCGGTAAGGGATCGTGGTCTGCGGGGGTGGTTAGCTTGATAAATGACTTCAAGGCGCAAGGCCGCGCCACTGGATAACTGAAAATCATGAGCCTTTGTATTTGTCTTTTTAATTGCAGCATGAAGTAGATCAAGTCGAAAAGCCAGGTTGTAGACAATAGACCAAAATAAGGAACCCCCGCCTGCACAGCCATCTGATTAGTGTAGGATAGTGGTGGGGAGCGGTAGTCATGGGTTGGAGGGAGGCCGTCAGGGTGACCAAGGCCTGGGAGAGGTTGTCATGTGACCAAGGGTTGGGCGGGGTTAGACAGTCCAGAGAGAAAAATGGGAAGGGGGCTTAGGGCTGTCCGTCCGAAGCGTCGGGCGTTTCGCCAGTGGAGGGCGTCTGACTGACGGGGCTACGCAGTCGAACGCCTGAAGGAAACACAGGTAGCACGGCGACACGGTTCTTCACAGCGGACCTCGGTGCCAACGGTTGCTCCGGGTTTGGACTCTGAAATGAAGGCGTGGAGGGAGGAGTGGTTCTACATTACAAAATTTTATCGGGGGAGCCAACAGGCATCCCTTGTCTCCGTTTCCTCTTTTTGCCAGCTGGACCTGAGAGGCTGTGGCCAATGCACAGTCGGTTACGAAGTTTACTTCAGTATCGGACGACCAGTATTGGTTCAAGTGAGCCGTGACTCTTGGCTATGTTCTCACTAACAATAATATCCGCCTTCATTTGTGTGGGGCCTCAATGGTCCCCAGTGGAAGCCAGATGTGTGCGTGGTCACGTCAGTCACTAATTCATTATGGAAGTGCAAAGAGGGGATAAGGTCAAATCTGAACACTCAACTGTCATGGTATTCTACACGTCGTGGCTAGAAATTAATAGATGTTTTGGCAGAATTTGAATAATCCATATGGACCCAAATGTGAAAAACTCGGCGCCTCGGTGGGATTCAAATTCACGACAGCAAGGCGAAGGCTTTAGTACAGCCGACGCTCTAACCACTTGAGGTACGAGGCCCAACGGATTCCCGGGGAATTACTTTGGGAATCCTGCTTGGGCAGTCAACTTACTGTATCAGATTTGGTGGATTCCAGACGTTGCAGTCGTTTGGGCAGGTAACTTGACCCAAATGTGATTAAACTCCCGTCGTTCGGCGGGGCCTCATAGCTCAAGTGGTTAGAGCGTTGGCTGTACTAAAGCCTTCCCCTTGCTGTCGTGGGTTCGAATTCCACCGAGGCGGTGAGTTTTTCAGAGATGGGTTAATATGAACTGTTTAAAAAGTTAGTGAATATTAGTTTTTTGTAGACCGCCAAATGTCCGCTTGTAGAGAATTGTATAAATACGTTAAATAATGCTGTTTATGAATTATACAACATGTTCCGAATTTGTTGCAAGGTTGCCTGACCCCATTATCACGTCTTCCTAATATCTTATAAAGACGTATTAGTTATAATAAAAGTATCCTGAGTAACCGATCTCGTCCAATATCAGTCGAAATTCCGCAATGCGTTTTCGGCTGGGCAGGATTACTTAGGTGGTGTTGTGAGGTTGACAATTATGCAATCACGTAGTATCTCGAACTTGCCGGGGTGTTGGCGTTTGAGTGAACTTCTTTGCTATCTCCTGCAAAAACCGCACTCGCCAAAAATGACAGCATACATAGTGTGTGGAGTTTCAAATACATTTTATGGAAAACATACAATATAAACTCCCTTTAACTCATTTGATAGCAAATCATGTAAGTTTCTCGTTTTATACCCAAAGGCAAGGGAACCTTCTGGTCCTGAAACGCTTCCAATCATGAGCTTTTTAAGGCCGTACAATATGTATTCATTCAGCATTGTATCTGTTCGCTTACTAATGTTCATGCATCATACAGCATAGTCCGAATCCACTGGAAGATCCTGCGAGCATTATATAGTATTTTCTTAAAGGCGTAGAAAAATAACTGATTTTTACTACGCGGAAAGCTAACATCTTATAAAATGAAATCGCTTACTGTTAATGCAACGGCTAAACTGAATCAAAACTATTCGGGAGTTGAAGAACTTTCCAAACTCGGAATATGCCCTTTAATTGAGTGTATGATGAGAACATGACGTGATTTACTACCGAATGATGTAAATAAAGCACATTTTATGCGTCTAGGAATTATTGTGCTGTAGAATATTGGTGCGATCTCAGTTTCTGAGGCGAATTGAATGCCAGCATTCATATTCAATGGACTTTGGACATTCATATTGACCCAACTGTGAATTATTCAAAATCTGCTAAAACATCTATGAATTACGGGAGCCTGGTAGTCATCTGGTGGATTCTAGGTGAATTACTTAGGAAATATTGCATGGGAAGACAACTTGCTGTATCAGATTTGGCGGATTCCTGACGTTGAAGTAGGTTGGGCGGGTAACTTGACCCAAATGGGATTAAACTCACGTCTTCCGGTGCGGCCTCGTAGGTCAGGTGGTTGGAGCGGTAGCTGTACTAAAGCCTTCCCCTTGTTGTCGTGGGCTCGAATCCCACCGACACGCCAAGTTTTTCACAGTTGGGTCAGTGTGAATTATAATTTAAACACAAAAAACGAACGAACAGCTTCTTTATTTCTGAAGTCCACTACTACCCATACCACTGCCTCTTAATTTGTTATTCTGAAGTTGCCACAAAAAGACGTGCTGTCTCTCGGTGAGGAGATCATAAAACGCCCTCCGGCAAGTTCTATAAAATGCACAGAACTGTAGAATAACAAAGTAAGAGGCAGTCGTAGGGGTATTAATGGACTTCAGAAATAAAGAAGCTGTTCATTCGTTTTTTGTGTGTTTAAATTATAATTCATATTGACCCAACTGTGAAAAACTCAGCGTCTTGTCGGGATTCGAGCCTACGACAGCAAGACGAAGGCTTTAGTACAGCCGATGCTCTAGCCACCCGAGTTACGAGGCGTCGGAGTGCCACCGGGGTAGGCGTCCAAGTGTCTTGGATGAAGACATGTCTGCGTCGGTCTTTGAGTTCACTGACCGGTCTTGATAGCTGTGATTGGCGAGTAACCAGGCTGCCACTGACACGCGCAAGAGGCTCAGTATTGCAACGGCCGCTCATAGTAGGGTCACTTCAGGACAACTTGGGCCTTTGAGTTGTGCAGCTGACCTCAATTGCTCCTCCATCATTTGGCCATTTAGCTGTGAAGTTGGGTCAGTATGAAGAGTGACTTGAAATGCCAACAGTGGCGGGATTGTCACGGCAGCTTCAGTCATAGGCGGACGCCCCGGTCACTACGACCTTCAGGCCGGGTCCCGAAAAGAAAGGGGAGGAGCTGGACGCCAGTAGATCGGGAGGTTTGCACTCTGTACAGAATGAATGAAGAATAGAGAGGAGCGAGTCGGCGGCCGGACGAGGGCACACGCCCCGCGCCGGGGAAGTCGACGTCTGAGTGCCACGGGGGCAGTTGTCAAAGTGTCTTGTACGGGGGCATGTCTGCGTGGGTTTTGACTGACCGGTTTGGACAGCTGTGATTGGCAAATAACCGGACTGTCATTGATACGGGCGCAGTGTTGCAACTGACGCTCATAGTGGGGTCACCTCAGGATAATTTAAGCCTTCAACTTATGCGGCTGACCTCAACAGCTTCGTCGTTTGGCCATGTGGCCGGTCCTTACACTGTGCGGTTGGAGAAAGTGACGCCTGAGGCATTGGAGTCTGGTGACCAGCACGTGTATGACTCGGGCAGATGCGAGCCCTGGATTGCGCCCTGAGATACGGGAACATGCGACGAAGGGGTTGTCCTGATCCTGATCTTCAGATTTAGCATTGTTATTAAGGAAGACGACTCTAATACAGAAAGCATTATGAGCCAAACTTAACCGCCATAGAAGCGAATATGGAGTTCCAGGAAGCAGTTCAGAAGGAGAAGATGCTTAATAGCACACATATTCGTCGTTCGTGGTCATATTGTATGCAATTACTACCTGTCTGTCCGTACATGAGTCGTTAATTGACGTGCTTTCATCTCCGCTGTGACTTGTCTGCACAAAGTTTCGGC